TTATCATTATTCAAGCTTATGTCTCTCTGTTCCACATTCCTCTTTTGATAAGGATTATTTAAATGCTAACAACAAAATTAGGAAAATAGCCACAGATAACACACAAGAATATTTCTGAAGGATGATGAAATAAGATAATTTTATAAAACTGAGCACACATATCAGATTTTATAAGTAACATCTCCAAGTTCTGTTGTTTACTGAACATTTGTTGTTTTCCCAAAGCAGCATTAAAAAAATAATAAACACTTTTCAAACTCACTTTTTAAAAACATTTCTGCTGGTCCTCTAGCTGTAAAGTACACAGAGAAATAGCTTACTGTGAATGTTCTCAAGCTATTTCTAGGGCAAGTGAATCCAAGCAACAACATGTGCACTCAGAAAGGGAGGAGGGATTATGAATAGGGAGAAAAGAAATGATGTTTTCTGGGCCATCATTAAGAAAGAGCCTTGCTACTAGGATTTGGGTCTCACACCTGGATCTGCAATACTCCAGGGAGGCACTCTATTTAATACCTCATCTAGGACCTTTCTTTCTTGCCTCCCACTCCCCTCCCTTTAAAAAAAAGAAAAAAGAAACTTATCTGTCACAAACTGCATTCCCAAAATAATCTCAGTGTTATTCTGAGTATTATGGGACATTCAGGGGTTTGATAAAAGAACCAGAAAAAAACCTCTGATAATATTCAACTACACTGGATTGATTTTAATGCTGCTGTTGTTATTGTTGTTGTGTTATTGTTTACAGACAATAAAGCCTCAATTGTCTGTAAAATAACTGGGACAAATATGCTGAAAAACCTGCTCAAAGATTATCTTTATCTTTGAAGGTTCTTCCCCAATAGAGAAAGGGGTGGATTTTTTAAAATGTCTCCCCTTTAGTGTAGTAGCTATCTTCATAAGTAGGTGTTTATATTTCTGAAGAAAAGACCCCTGCTATTGATTTCCCCACGGAATTCTGTCAGCTTAGAGATTACATTATTCTTGTGACTAAATTGCTCTTGTCTATCACTGATTAAACCTTCAGCTATGTCTTATAAATCAAATTATTTCTGTTTAACTTTATTTATTTAGCATATGGCTCTGTTTACTTTGTATACTTCATGATATAAATGAAAGACCACACACAATATATGTGTGGTCTATTCTAGAAACCATGGGTTTACACAAAGATTCAGAAACACAAGTTAAGTAGTCTTGCTGTGCCGGAGCAAACTGATGTAGCTTTTTTAGTATTACTGGAAGTTTAGGGAGAAAGTATTTCTGAAGTTCAAGTTAACATTGTTGTAAAAGTTCTAGAAGACTTTCAGGGAGGCTGGATAAGTTGCTCACGGGGACTCACACTTTCTCTCCAAGAACAGCCTTGAGAAATACATTGTTATGAAGTTGCATTGCAAACAATAGATATTCTCTTCCAGGATATTGGCCAATTGGAATAGGCAGCTATGTCATTGCTTTGTTCAGCAGCATAACTTATTGGAGTGGGTGGCAAACAAAACAGAAAATAAAGCAAATATTTTTTTTATTTAAGATTAAAAGTATTAGAATTGTGCCCAACATGAGTCACTAAATATTTTAGTCAATCAATCAAAATTTGTCTTTAACTGGCACGAGGTTCATTTCATTTCTTGTCACAGGAAAAAATATATAACTTCTATATAACAACGTTTTTTCAATATTCCTTTTTCACTGAGAATTGTTACAAGACTTGCATAGTTAATTATAAATGACTTTTATTTTGAAAATGAGTACATATTTTCCTTTGCTGCAAAAACAAATGTTGGCATCCATGCATTATTTGATAGGAGTTTTAAGCTATTTAAGTATAAATTGAACTAACATCTGAAAGGTCATTGCAGTTTTTATAAGTTTTACTTAGTAATTAACCTTTTGTTGCCTCTTGGATCAAATTTTTGGTACTAGCTCCTGTTGGAGAAGGCTTCAATAGGTTTTTTTCCTATCACAAAAGACAGATTCAGTATGGTCTTGGAAGGAAAGTTCAGATATGAAAAAAGGACAAACTGAAAACCATGAATCTCATATTTGGACTATGATGAGAGGTGGCAAACTTCACACACTCCATCTCTCTTACTCGACACTGTCATTTGAAAAGCCCTACAGAGAGCTTTTTTTCTATTCTCATTATGTCTTTTGTCAGAATTTATCAAACTAAGAATTTCTCCCATGCTGTGGTAAGTAAAATTGTCAAAATACATCTTTCTACTGCCACAGTTTCAATTTTCCTTACTTATTACTAGCTGACAATTCAGGATTTATATCAAAATGACACCAGAAGAAAACCAAATGAACAACTCAGCCATGTATGCCTAGCATCATCCTTAAATCTGGCCTTCCTTTCATCTTCTATAAGAGTAGGGGAAAATATGGAGACAAAGTTTCTTACTTTAAAATATATATTTAAAAAGCTTGACAGTTATCAGATATGAGAAAATATCCCTTCACTCCTTAACCAAACTTTACTGAAATTGATTAAAGAACCCATAACAAGGAATGAAAATAATACACTATTCTTGCAAAACAGATATAAAGGACGATGCTTTTTGCGCAGACATCTGTATTAATGCTTTTTAACTTGTTCATAAATAATCTAGAGTTTTTGTTAAGTAACCATTGTAAAAACTATGCAATGGCCTTTCAGGACTTTGCTCAGTTCAAACTTTAATAGCTTATGCCTCTCATGAAATCATGCACAAATAACATAATTTGTTGTTACAGCAACGTACGTTTGCTAACAGGAAAAGGGAGCCTCATCTTAATCCCACTCACTGTGGAGCAGCCTTTCAACGGTCAGATATGTGATCCTTCTAAGCAACTATTGCATAGCTGAGCAAATGAGAAAGAGGTTGGACAGAATCAGGGGTGGGTTTCAACTGGTTCGCGGCGGTCCCCGTGAACCAGTTGGTCGGTGAACCCGGAAGTAAGTAACTTCCAGGAACGGCAAAGGGCCCACCCGCCCGCCCGCGCTCCTTACCGGTCTTTGAAGGCTTATGCGCTTCCACGCAGCATGGCACATACAGCACCTGCGCGATTCTCCGCGAGCAGCTGGATGGCACATACAGCGCCTGCGCGAGTCTCCGCGAGCAGCTGGAGCATNATAAAATATACCAAAGTTTAAACCTTAAACAGTCATTTGGAAAGGAGGATTAGAAAACTTTGTTATTAAATATTATGGATGTTTAGCTAGAACAGGACATAAGGATTTAGTGGAGGATTTTAGAAATAGTAATTGAAAGGCCAGTATGTGTTTATGTATTAAACTTTGGTATATTTTATGATGAAGGACATTAACAATTATAGTCAAATGAAAATGGAGATATAATGATGGTGACATGTATAAATATTTGAGTTAAAATACTTAAGTTAATATGAATTATGTTTGTTGACTGTGGAAGGGATGCACAAAAGTTTTTTTTTGTAACCAACTGATACCCTTTCTATAGCATGTAAAGAAGGATGATGTATTTGTTTTAAATTAAAAAATATTAAAAAAGAACTGAAATATTGGAAACATGCATTATTTCTATATAAATATTTGATTCCTGTTTTAAAATACTTTACATATTGGGACCAATATATATATAGCTTGCCTGTACATGCTGTTGTCTTTGGATGCAGGCAAACAATCACTCAAGGCAGCTGTGAAAGAGTTAGAATGTGGACAACTCTCTTCATTTGCAGAGATGGGGTTGCTGTTTGCTTGGTTATCAACAGAAACTGCTGTTATAGCCAAATTATTCCATCTTTCTTCTGCCAACTCACTCTGATTATGTGCCAGTAATTTATTTATTTATCACATTTATATGCCACCTATCTCACTCTGAAGTCTGACTCTGGGCAGCTGTCATAAATGTTCTGGAAGAAAATGTTCAAACCAAAGAACCAATCAAATAACTATTAATATGTCAAGTTAGCAAAGGGCGATTTGGTGGATTGAGAGTCCTGAGCAATCAGAAGAAATATTTTGTGAATTCCCTTGAGTTATTGTTGACTCCTGGTTACTACCTAGATTAGTCCCTAAAGTTTTATGGCAACATTTCAAAAGTGGTTTGCCCTTACCTTTTCTTAGGCCTGAAAGTTAATTACCCATTTTGTTACTCAGTTAACCTACAGTATATAAATCATTAGTGACAAATATAAGGCAGATCTACCTAAAAAATACAATGTATTATCCATTGCCTTGTTCCTTCCAGGCTGATACTGGTAATAAAAGTCTCATGGGCAGAGATTCAAAAACATAGCTTTTGATAAAGTAGTTTTTATTTCAGCTACTAGAAAAACCATTACCACAAAGAAAATCAAAACTGTCAACTGGAAGACCGAAATTTATATATGGAGCAGATTAAAACGTGTCTTAACAGGCCAAGTTAAGATGTGCATTGTTATCATGATGGATCCCACTCAGACTTTTTGCTTTTGACTTTGCCTGACTAACCTTTGGCCTCATGTGTAAGCCTGCCATGAGAAAGGTGCTTCTGGATTTTTGGTATGAATAGCAAGATCCACACTAGAGATTCATGCTGGTTGAAAGAGAGCCACTGAAGTCCATTCCAGAGGTGGCATTTCAGATACCTGCTAATTCAAGCATAGCACTCTTCAAGTGATTATGTCACTAGGACTCATTGTAGAAAACAACTGCAAATATTAGTGATAATCTCCAGCTTCCAGGCTGAAAAGTCTGGTTGAGAATGCCTCTGGGCCTCTAAAATCCTAAAACCAACACCAGAAAGCCACCCCAAGAACACACAAAAGCTAATGCTGAAAAGGAAGCCCAGCACGACTTCATTCGTGATACAAATTAAAGAAACGAGCCTATTCTAGTGTGTTCTAATGAAGGTGCTTGTGTAATGTAGTGGCTAAGCCATTCTGTAGTAGCATAAACTATAATCTCTAAATATATTCAGGTTTAACTAACTGAATCCTAATGGTGAGAATCAATTTGTTACTTGTCTGGAGTCTCATTTCTTTTTATTTCCATGCAGGATTCCACTGTGGTATGTAAGAAAAAATGCTCTCCTCCCAGAGGTTGTATCAAAGCCAGAGGAGAGTGCTGCAAAGAGTGCCTCTTATATGTGTCTCCTGAGGAAACGAAAGTGTGCAAGTTTGGAAATAAAATCTTCCAGGTAGACATTCTTAAATTATGTGTCAGGATCACTTCACTAGACCATTTGATTTCTTAACAAGTTGTAGTACATTCAAAATCATGCTCTTATTATATTTTTGGCTATTGTTTTAGCCAAATGAACAAAATGTAAAAATGCAGTAAAACTGAACAAATTATGAAATTAGCTAGTCCTTTGGTAGAGTATGCTGATGCATTTTCCCCAGGCAGATGACCAATCAACTATCTCTTTAAATGGAATGCTATGAATCTGCATAGAATGCTCTGCATTCTAGGCTTTGTGTTTTACATAAAATGCACAATTGTTTTCTTCAGCATTCTGTACTTCTAATGGTGTTGGAAGGAGAATTTCTGTACATTTTGTAGGAATCAATCTAGCCAAAGACCTCTTTTCCCACTCCAACTTCAAGTGAGCCAATAAGAGCTTAGCTGATGTTTCTGGACAGTATTCAGGGCTTACAGTGCTTCATGCATTGGCATATTATTGGGACAGCAGATTATTACAATATATCATTGGGACATATTGGAATAATTTGCTTCTGCTCTCCTATCCAAGATCCTTCCAAAAAGATTACATTTGGAGATTTCCTCCAAATGTTTCCAATGTTTTTGCATTCCTGTGCTTTTAAGAGGTACAAGATATTTTCTCTATTTCCACCCCTATCCTTAATTATTTATTGAACTTGTATAATTGTGAAGACCATCTTTGTGTTGCGAGAGTCTAAAATCAGATAAGAAGCGAAATCTCTTACTAACTTATCTACTGTAAAACTAATCCCTCTTTTAATTAATTGGTTTTTTCATTTGCACAAATCCACAGTGTAAAAATGTCATTTGCAGTAAGGGATTTTCTTTGTTTAGTTAACAGTCTTAGACAAAATAATTCATCAATTGTCTTTTTATTTTCTCTTTTGGATATGGGGTGGGTAAATAGAAATTTAAAGTTATATAGACATAGATTGAAGTGTAAAATATCAAAAAAGAGGAGATACATCAGGAAAAGTTCACTGCACTTCAGGGTCTTACTTACCACCTATAAAGCGCTCCATGGTAGTGGATCTGACTATTTGAGAGACCGCCTCCTGCCAATTACCTCCCTGCGTCCCATCAGATCGCACAGAGTAGGCCTCCTCCGAATTCCATCCGCCAGCCAGTGCCGACTGGCGACTACGCGGAGGAGAGCCTTCTCAGTTGCAGCTCCGACATTATGGAACAACCTCCCCGTGGAGATCCGTACCCTCACCACAGTCCAGGCCTTCCGCACAGCCCTTAAGAACTGGCTATCCCGTCAGGCCTGGGGATAGGATTACTCTAACCCCGCCCGAATGTTGAGTGAATGTTGTGTTTTTACGATCAATTTTCTTTTAATCACGATTCCTTTCTTTTTAAGTCTTGTCTTGCACTCCCTTCCCTTCATTGTTGTAAGCCGCCCTGAGTCCCCTCAGGGAAAAGGGCGGCATATAAATTTCCAATAAAATCTAAAAAAATCTAAAAAAAAAAAGAGAAACATCTCACAAAATAATTTTATGTGTATCCACACACTTTTAGTTTTGTTTTTTAAATAGCTAACTCACACTTATTAGTTTCAAGGGAAGTAAAGCTTAAGATAGAAGTCATGAAACAAAAGGAAAAAAAAATCTAAACTACTCAAAACAAATGTAACACAACTTTAGGTTAATTTCTCTATAGAACAGAAAACAATATTTTCAGAAATCAATATTTTGGAGACATTGACTTTTTACACCAATCATGTATAACCCAATTTCTTAAAGTAGCTGCCTTAAGGAAGTAGATAATAATAAGGACATGAATGAATAATCCACAACAACCTTGTTGAAAGCTCCAACAAGGTTATTTCTGTGTAATTAATATGGATAGCATGATATCTATATTCTCATGTTACTCTGCAGTTGTCTTTCCAGGTTTTCTTTTAAAATGATACTTAGTTTATACAATCATTTCAAACCTAGGATTACCAATGTAAATGGAATCAGTTGTAAAGTGTGATGTTACATGATTGCATCAACTTGCAGCAGTCCTTGTTGCCATCATTAGGTGAATCCCATGCAGTTGCATGATTCCCATTTGTGACCTCCTGCTGGCTTCTTCACTGATCTGCTTGTCAGAAGTCAGCAGTGAAGATCAGAAATTATGTTCATATGATCTCTAGACACTGTGACATTGTAATTGAGAACAGGTTGTCAAGTGCTTGATGTGTGATCATGTGACTGTAGGAGCACTGCAAACAGCTGCAACCATGAAATCCAGTCATAGGTTCCCTTTATTAACTGCTATCATACGATTGAACAGTTGCTAAAGAAGTGGCCTTATCACTCTAACTTATGTACAGTAACTACTGTAATTTATTTAGAGGATTACTTATAATAAAGAAACTAATAGTGGTGGAAACATTTTTTATCAAATAAGTAATCAAAAGCTTTTATATGATGGCCATTAAAGGGCTAGTTCAGGGGTCCACTGCCCACTGCAATCTCAGCCCCTTGTGCAGCAAAGTGAAATTTAGCGTGATTTACAATGGGGGAGACAGGGTCCCCTCCTCCTTCTCCTGGAGCCCATTACCATGCGGAGCCACAATGCGATCCTGCCCCACTTGCTTCTGTCAACAACAGCAGCAGAGAGACAGAGAGAGACAAGACACACACACACACACACACACACACAGAGTGAGAGAGAGAGAGACAGACACACAGAGAGAAACACACACAGACACAGAAAAACAGAGAGAGATGAATGAAAGTTAGAGAGAAAGAGAGAGACAGAAAGAGAGAGACAGAGAAAGAAGAAAAGAAAAAAGAAAAAGGGAGACAGATAGAAACAGAGAGAGGGAGAAATAGAGAGATGGAGAAAGAGAAAGAAAGAGACGCATACAGAGACAGAGACACAGCAATAGAGAGCGAGAAAGAGACAGAGACACACACAGAGAGAAAGGGAGACAGAGAGAGATAGAGACACCCCCAGAGACAGAGAGAGAGAGACACAGAGAGACACAGAGAGAATGATAGAGGCACAAAGTGAGACAGAGTGAGACACTCACACATACACAGAGGTAGGTAGGTAGGTGAACAATACACCCGAGGCCAAGTGTGGCAAAAAGTAGCTGGGACGGGTGAGATGTGGCCCGGCGTGGCAAATAATTTAACAACAAGTTCTCTGCCTAATGACTGGCTGGATAGGCATGGCTGCGGGGTATCATGTGACTGGGTAGGAATGACTGATGTTGAGTTGGCCATGCCTACCCAGTCACACTGGTTGTTAAATTATTGGCTCCAGGTGTTTTCTTTTCTGTGGGAAATGGGTCCAAATGATTCTTTGCAGACCTCTGGACTAGGTCTATGCCATCAATTGATGAAGGAATGCCTTGGGGACTTCATTTAACATATGTAAAACCATAAGAAACTGAGCCAGTGCATTATTTTAGCAACACGTTGGAATCATAGTGTCATAGAGAGGGGGAATGGGAGGTGGGAAGAAGTCAAATGTATCTGTACCTGCTAGAACATAGGTAATTTCATCTTTGTATTTTCTAAATGTTTTCAGATGTTTAGTAGATCAGATATCTGCCTTTAGCACCGTAAGTAATTCAATATTAGCAATATTTCTGGCTTAAAGCAGAATGAGGCTACTTCTGGGAGTACATTTTCTGTCTTAATGGAACAATCAAATATTTTTATGTGCAATAACTTAACATGCCAATCATAGTGGTTACATTGAATCAGACTTTTCTATTTATCTCATCCCAAATGAGACAATCAAGATACAGGATAACCACAAATTGAACAGTTTTCTTTTGTAAGAAAGAAATATAGCTAATCCAGTGATTTATAGAAAATTCGATTGTGTCTTCATTAAGTCTGGAGTTACACTTCTCCATGTGGAAGAACCCAACTGAAAAATTATCCTGATAGCTTGCCAATCCAGACAGTTGGAATGGACACCTGATAATTGATTTAGACTAAACAATGACATAATTCCAACATGGAGAATTTTGCTTTTTCTTTGTATAACAGGACAAAAAAATCACTGGAATAGCTTCTTCCTGCTATCCCAGGTGATAGATGTATTGTTTTTTCTTTTCTTTTTGCAGGATGGAGAGATATGGCCCTCTATTAACTGTACCATCTGTGCCTGTGTGAAAGGCAAGACAGAATGTCGCAAGAAGCAATGTATTCCAGTCAGCAGCTGCCCTCATGTGAGTGTAACAATAAATTCTTTAGAAGGAGTTGAGCTGTTTATAAATGGTAGGAATTTTGGTAGAATTTTTTAACATCCTTGATACATGCAGACTAAAGAGCCCTTCAGACAGAAAACAACTCAATATAGAGAATAAGCTTATGTTAACTTTTTAAATAGTGAATGGAAAGGTAAGGTGCAGAACCACCCAGTTCTTAGATTTAGTGGAGAACACTCTTAGTGTTCTCATTCTTACTTGACTGAAGCCAGATCTGTGTTAGAAAAGCAGCAGGAGATATTGAGACCCAGAATTGCATTCATGCCATGTGAATTATTTGATTCCCAAGAGGATCTAGAATTCGCAAAAGAAAGTAAATCATTTCAATTTTCTCTGGACCAATTTTCATATCCATGCTGTTTATCAAAATGTCCTGTAATAATAGTAGGCATAAAAAATATTCACCAAGAGCCTACAATAGGCTTTGTACATTCTATATTTTGTTTGCTACCCCCTCCTTTGCAATATACATTGCAAAAATACATTTTGAACCTATGAACTTGAAGTGAGCTTCAGATTTATTCAGGGCATGCTGCTCAATGCCTAGCATAGGTTTTTATACACATCTGCTATTTTAATAAATAAGCAAAAAATAAATGTGGCTGGTCATATATCCTTGCCAAATGAGGAAAAACCAAGAGTAGCTGCTTTTATTGTATAACTTTCCCCCAAAATCTTAATTAGTTTTGCTTTTTTAAATTCATATATAGAAAAAACAAACTATGGATAGAAATCTAGATTATTAAAAAGAAGCAAAGCAGCACTCAAAGATTGCCAGATAGGAACTGCTTATAAATATTCATGGAGAAAAATGGCCCATTTCTAAGTAATCCCTCAATTGATTAATAATACCTACCACATATGTTATCAATAATATATGGCTTTCTTTTACAAGATAAAAGCAGAATCCTGTGCAGTGGTAGGATTCAAATAATTAACAACCAGTTTTCTGTTCTGACTGGCTTAGAAGGGGCATGGTTGGGGTGTGTGACTGGGTGGGTGTGGCCAACTCACCATCACTCATGTCAAGGGGCACCTCATCTGGCCTCTCCCCTCCCAGCTCTCCAACCTCTCTCTGTGTGTGGGGAGGCAGTGGCAGGGGCTTCTGAGCAGCATAATCCCCCCTCCCCAGTCCCAACTCACCTACTCCCTGAGTCTTTCCATTCTCCTCAACACCCCCCCCACACACACACATTCAAGCAGCGGCAGGCTTTGTGGGACAATAGGGCCTCTCATTTTTCCCATGGCACAGCATACACTTGCTACCTTTGCTTGTCTGCTTGCAAGCAGTGATCTCTGCTTCTCTCGGGACACTGGTGCACCATGCATTGCTTCTCAGGGCTGAGCAGAGAAGTTGCTGTCATGCCACTCCCCTTCGCTTCCCAGTAAAGAGCTGTGTGGCTAACAATGCCCCACACAGCATTGGCCAGCTGCCGGTGGGGATGAGCTGCCAGCCCAGCTTGGGCTGGCTGGTTGGAACAGCACTGCAGCTGAAGCCACCATGCTGCAGCTGAAACAGAAGGCGCCTTGCAAGCAGATCCTCACATTGGAAGCAATGAATTGGCTGGTCATGGTGGTGGAGTACGTGGTGTGGGGGCCCATCATCCTGAAAGCAGGTGAGATTGAAAAGGAGCTGCAGAAGGATATCAAAAAGCCTTTCACAGAATTTATTAAGGCCAACATTGGTGATTCGCAATGAGCACAACTTTAGTCAGGCCATTCAAGCTGCCACTGTAGGGTCAGCCGCCTGGTGCAAAACCTCATGGTTTTTCTCCTCCTCAGCATCATCTTCCCTGCTCAAGCAGTGGCAGGTCCACGGGAATCATTCCTGCGAACTCCAGAAGGCTGAACGAAGTTTTCAACTGAGTGAGGAAGCACTGCGGAGCCAGGCCCTTCACACCCACATCCAGCCTGCCAACATTTGCTCTCAGGATGATGGGCTCCTGTACCTCATACCCCACTGCCTTGACCTGCCAGTTCATAGATTCCAATGTGAGGATCTTCTCACATGGCACCTTCTCTTTCAGCTGCACACTCCCAAATTACAGCAAAAATGAGGGGCAGGGAACCCTGCCGTGCCTGGTGAGGGGGGGGGGTAGAGAAGAGGCAGCAAGAGGAGCTCTGTGTCATCCCAATGAAAGGCAGCAGCAGCCTGGCCACTTCCCTACCCCATTCTCTCTGGCGCTGGAAGCCAAGTGTCAGCAACACGCTCAGTTGCCCATGCAGAGATCAGGTAGGCTGCCGCAAAGGCAGGCAAGCAGCCTGGGCTGTGTGGGAGGCAGCTAAGGTGGGAAGACTCACCAGGCAGAGATCAGCTGGACTGTGGGGGCTGTAGTCGAGGTGACAGAAGGAACTAGAGAGCAGCAACAGCTATGCCACAGGCTTGAGCAAGGAGTTAACTCACTTCCTGCTGAGTTGATGTTTGTTGAATTAAGGGAGAAGGAGTTATATCCTGTTTAAAAGGATCAGAAGGTGCTTTATGGCATCATGTGAACTTTTTATTTTTGTTGTGTCCTAAACTCAGATAAAAAAATACAATGATAAATTTAGACTTTATTCTATGTAGATAGACATTATCTCATTTGTATTTCTATCATATTTCACTGCTAGCATTGCATATATACAATACTACATTTTCTCCTCTATTTTCCTTCCTCTTACTTAAGGTACAACATTTGATTTTCTCCTGTGAAGGAGATTAGAGTGAAGGTGGAGTCCAAGATAAAATGTGTTTACGTACTGTTCTGACGTGCTCTTCTGCCTATGAAGGCAGCTTAACAGAATAACAGAGTTGGATGGGACCTTGGAGGTCTTTTAATCCAACACACTGCTCAAAAAAGAAACCCTTAACAGGTGCTTTGGAAAATAGCTTGACCCCCTCTTCTCTGGGGCAGCCACTCAAATATTGGAACACTGCTATCATGTCTCCCCTGGTTCTTCTCTTCATTGGACGAGCCATGCCCAGTTCTTGCAACAGTTTGTCATATGTTTTAGCCACCAGTCCCCTAATAATCTTTGTTGCTGTTCTCTGCACTTTTTCTACAGTCTCAACATCTTTTTTATAGTGTGATGACCAAAACTAGATGCAGTATTCTAGGTGTGGTGTTACTAAGGGTTCATAGAGTGAGTACCTCACTTGATATTGATTGCATTCCTCTGTTAATGCAACTTAGGATTTCATTAACTGTTTTGACCATTGCTGCACTCTGTTGGCTCATATGCAATTGTCCACTAAGACTCCAAGATCCTTCTCAGTTACTGCTGTTAAGCCTGATTTCATCCAGTCTATATGTGTACTTTTGGGTTTTCTTGCCTAAGTGTAAGACTTTACTTTTCTCTACATTGAATTTCATTTTGTTAGATAGGGCCCAGTGTTCAAGTTTGTCAAGATCCATCTGAATCTTGAGCCTATCATCTAGGGATTGGCAATTCCTGCCAGCTTAGTATTATCTGCAAATTTAATAAATTCCCCTTCTATTCCCTCATCTAAGTCATTTATGAAGATATTGAAGAGTACTGGCCCTAAAACGAATCTTGTGGTACCCCACTACTTATTTCCCTCCATGTAGATGTAGTACCATTAAATACTACTTGTTGAGTATGGTTTGTCAGTGAGTTACAAATCCATCTGATGGTGATGCTATCTATCCTGTTTTTTTCTAGTTTACTAACAAATAGGTTGTGGTTTATTTTGTCAAATGCCTTGCTGAAGTCTAAGTATATTATGTCGACAGTATTTCATTGGTCTAGTAATTAGTTACTGTGTTGAAGAATGAAATAAGATTGGTTTGGCATGATTTGTTTTTAACAGACTTGTGCTGACTTCTAGTTATTACTTCATATCTAGATGTTGGCAGATCTGTTTTTATCGTCTTTTCCAGTATCTTCCTGGGTATTGATGTTAGGCTGATTGATATGTAGTTCCCTGGGTCTGTTTTTTCCCCTTTTTTGAAGATAGGAACCATATCAGCTCTTTTCCAGTCCTCTGGTAGTTCCCCAAGTTTTCCAGGATTTTTGAAAGATGTTGTCAAGTCTCATAGATTCCTATATGGATGCTGTCATTCTGGTGGGAGGGAGGAGGTTGGGGGAATCTCAGTATGGGGTTTCTGTTTCTATTTCTTGCTTTACCTTGCTGTAACTTTTGGGACCTTGGAAGTAGCTGCTGCCATGATGAGCAGACCCCTACTGGGCATCCCCAGGGAGTACTGAGAGTTAAGTGATGCATTTAGCAAAACAGTTTCAGATGAACTTCCTTCTCATAGACCAACAGACTGTGCCATCAAGATTCTACTGGGTGCCAAACTACTTAAGCCAAAACATTATGCCATGGTCCGTCCCCCCCGGAAGCTGGATGAACTGCGCCAATTCATAGACAAAAACCTCAATTTTTTATCAATCTGCTAGGCGCAACTTGCCCACCCCCATTGTTCCAGGAAAAAAAAGATGGCTCATTACGCCTATGCATGGACTATGGAAATTTGAATGCTATTTGCAAGGAAAACCTGTATCCGCTGCCTCTGATGAGGAACTGGCCCATTTGGCAAAGGGGAGGATTTTTTCCAAGCTAGATATAAGGGAGTCTTATTACTGGCTCCAGATTTGGGAGGGGGATAAATGGAAGCCCATTGTGATGTTTTCAGTTCAAGATCTTGCCATTTGGACTCCAAGGTGTAACTGCTGTTTTCATGCACTTGATTAATGAAGTGTTGCATGAGCACTTGTACAAGGCGGTTTTGGTTTATCTTGTTCATATATTGATTCACATTGAAACTCAGGCTGAACATGTTAAGTTAGTATAGGTGATCTTGAAAAAGCTAAGGGCAGCTACATTGTTTGCTAAACTTTTCAAGTGTGAATTTCACCAGGACAAAATAGATTACTTGGGCTACCAAATCTCCCACCGAGGAGTGGAAATGGATCCTGCAAAAATCAGGATGGTGCTTGAGTGGGAAACCCCTCGCACCCTCAAGCAAGTTTTGTCTTACACATGTAGATCAGAATGGATTTTTGTCAGGCAGATTAAAGACAACATGAGAATGATTTTAAACACATTGGAGTATTATAAAAAACATCCTGGAAAACAAATGGCATTGATTTTTCCCCATTACTATTTATACTGACTTTGGAAATGTTGACCAGAAATATTAGACAAGATGAAGAAATAAAAGGAATGGAAATTTTAAAAAGAGAAATATAAGCTACAGGCGTTTGTAGATGATTTGGTTTTTATACTAGAAGATCCGCTAGAAAGAATAAGATACATAGCTATTTTCAAAGACACTATATTAGAAATGCATTGTTATCTGCATGGTTTAAAACGAAAGAACAACTTTATCTGAAAATACCAGTCTGGCTTTCCACAAAGGAAGCATTGATACATCCTAATGTTATTAACATGGAAAATTGTAAGATGTAAAGATATTCTGAATGAAAAGGGGGAACTAAAAACTAAAAAAGAACTTAGTAGTCAAGGAATGGACATAGCATGGTGGCCACAAAGGCAGATACAATCTCAGTATGAGAAATATCTAAAATGTATGGTTTTAATAAAGAATTGACAGAATTGGACCAGAAATTAACTGGAAAGGAAAAAAAACTGATAAAGAAAATATATAGCTACTTATTATATCAAACTGGGAAGTGAGCAGGTAAAAAAAGACAATGATAGTTTGAGTTAAAAATTTTGAATTTACAATAGAATTGGATAAATGGTAGAAATTGTGGATAGAAATGTTAAATGTTAACTTCATATAAAGAAAATGTATACAAAATGTTTTAGAGATGGCATTTTGCACCAACGAGACTGGCAAAAATGTTTAAAGATAGATCAGCTAAATGTTGGGTACAACCAGCTACCTGATTCCTATTACCATATGTGGTGGACATGCCCAAAAGCTAAAAAATATTGGATGAAAATACATATCGTATTTTTCAGAGTATAAGACTTTTCCCTCAAAAAAGAGGCTGAGAATCTGGGTGCATCTTATACACTGAATACAGCATTTTTGCCTCCCAAAACTCTGCCCCTTCACCAAAATGGCCAGGGATAGTTTTTAGAAGGCTTTCAGAGAGCTCCTGGGGGCTGGGGAGGGCAGAAATGAGTGAAAAACGGCCCATTTTTGCCTAGCAGCACTCTATAAGCTTCCTAAAGGCTATTCATGCCCTTTTTTGGACAAAAAATGGGCCTGTTTTTGTGAAAAATGGGCCATTTCTTGCTCACCCCCCCCCCCTGCAGGAGCATTCTACAAGTGTCCTAAGGGCTATTCATGCCCCTTTTTTGAAAAAAAACCAAGCCCACTTTCCCCAAAAATGGGCTGTTTTGGGGAGGTTTGCAGAGTGCAAAAACTTTTTTTTTAAAAATTTCCTCTTTAAAACTTCTTATACTCTGGTGCATCTTATACTCCAAAAAGTACTTGATTGGAAAAAACGATAAAGCAGCATATAGACTTGAAACCAGAAATATTTTTATTGGACATCTGATAAATATATATATATATATATATGATTTTAAATGTATTAACTGCAGCCAGAATTGGCTTTCCACACAACAATGGAAAAATGACGAGATCCTGACAAATGAGAGTGTAATTAAGAAAATATTAGAATATGCAAAGATGGATAGATTACAATTAAGGAAAAAAAAGAAACTAAATATTTCTTGATATGAGACTTATTTTACCAATGATTAGATCATAAAAACAGAAGTTAGAAATATGGGGATATAAAAAGGATAAATGTTATATAGGAGATTTGTTAAAATAAATAAGTTAAATATTATTGTTATTATAGTAATATTATTGAGATGAATACTACTAATTAGTAGTATATCTTGATCATGATTGCCTAAAAACAATTGTACTCAGACAACACACTGTTTGATTGAAATTGAATCTTTTCATGCTATATAAACAAAATGAATAAACCAATAATGAAGAACAACAAAAAGAAGCACTGCATTGAATTCTTTTCCCATCCCATATTCTTTCTCCTTATTTCACTTAGGGAAAGATCCTCAACCGAAAAGGATGCTGCCCCATTTGCACTGAAAGTAAGTTCATTTATTTACTGCTTTCCCCCAATACTTTTCTTGAGAGCAAAATAAGGATAAATTATTTTGTGTTATTCCTCATTTTGTTCAAGAAAGTAAATAATTGCAATAGGATTGAATTCATGAGAAATGTTGAAGAGCAAATAAATACATCAATATAAATCTTGATAATACTCTTTTTTGCTTATGTCCAAACTATTTCCTTGCTAATAAAAATCATGAAGCCTACAATGAGGAACTTAAAAGCTTGGTGTCATTACAGAGTTCTCCCAAAACAATCTATATTTATCTTAAGATGAAATAAATTCATTTAAAATATAATTGAAATAATATTCAGTGCCATGAAAAAAATTAAAAATATATACAAATTCCAATGAAATTAATAATAGCATGGAATTTGCTACTGGGAATTGCTAGGAATTTTGCTGGAAATTTCTAGTCATGCTACTGTTTGTATAACATAATAAATGTTTTTATAAGTAATATCCTTAATGAAAAACAGGGTAGCCCAGATTTATAATTGCAAATATAATAAATCTTTATTATAGCATTCAGTTTTAATTTTTAAAGCAAGAGCCATGAATTTGAAGTTCTAACTAAAGAACACTTCACATATTAGTTTTAAATAAGTCTACCTTTTCATCCTCATCTTTCTGTTTTTTGACACTTGGAAAAATCCTGCCCTGAATTGTCTGCCTTTGAAAGACAAACTGACTCAGTAATGCAGTATTCATATATTCACTTGGACTGCCCAGGTGTTTCACCCTTCATTTCCCAGTTGTTTTTTATACAGAAAACAACATTGAATTTCAGGGCTTTCCACCTGAGACAGGATCATCATCGGAAAGCAGTATTTTTTTTAATTCTCTGTTATAGTGTGTGGGATAGTAAATACCACAAAAGCAGTCCAAAAACTTTTAGAATTCCTTCCAGTATGTTAATGTATCCATTCATCAAGCCTAGTCTTCAAGACCAGAGATAATCAACTGTATGATTTGCTTACATTTCTGATAGAGAATACTATCGTCGGCAAGTAGACAGATTGCCTTCAGGCCTGAGGACCTGTTTTATTCTGGAAAATGATGTCTGTTTAGTAGAGCTATAGGAAATCCATGCTTAGAAGCTATTCTGACAGCAAAGCAAGGATAAAAATGTTTTAAGCTGTATTTCATTTCAGCAAGTGATTAATTCCCATTTAAATCAACAAGAATTGAAAGAGATTAACTTTGGTGGAAATGTTCTGTTTAGCATTTGCAATTGAGTTCTATTGAGTTTTTGTCTCTCAAGTTTTCTGCTTGTCTAAGTCCTTCCCAGTCTGGAATAATTTAAAATGCAGTAATGCAGCAAATTATGTACCTCTGCAGCTAAACAGTGACCTTGATAGCTTTCCAAGATAAGTCTAGATTCAGCTGCTAAGATTTCCATGGCATGTTTGATGGACTTGAGATATATAGTCTTTTAGACCTTCATATTTTATCCTATAAAATAAATATTTTTCCTTGTTCCTAAATTTTTATAGGGCAAATATATCTGTAGCAGCCACATCCCATTGCTATTCTTCAAATGTGTTAAATTAAACTGTAGGCAAAGTCACTGGGAATTCTAGGAATTGCAGTCTAAAGTGTATGAAAAGCAGCAGCATAGATATGGCAGGTCTGCTGAATGCAAGGTGATTTTCAAGATATGGCTAAAAAGAAAAGAAAAGAAAATGAAACTGGTAATGCAAAAACAGATGGAACTTCAACCATCCCATTGCAATTGCCATCTTAACTTCTTTGACCACATCCTTCATATCCCCTTGGCTGGATGTTTAACAATGTGGGTATGAGACCATTGTAATTTCTGCTCTATCATGAACTGTGTAGTTATGAGGACACTAAGAGAAACACCTGACCAACACATCAAAATAGTTGATCAATTGCCTGCAACCAGTCTAAATATATAGTAAAAATACTTACATTTTAAAAGTCTTAAACACTAAGCTGATATTATTTTCTAGAAGTTCTATTGAATTGGTTTTGTTTTAATGACTTTTGATCATCCTTTGTATTTTGATTTTGGTGATCTGGATCAGTTCTGTAAATGAGATGTTACAAGCTATTTGTTTCTTAATAGATGTTACAATTATTAATGAAGAATTCTTTAGGCTAAATCCAGTTCACAATTAAATATGTATATGAATTTACATTTACTTTAATGACCTCTTATTGTCTCCTCTTGTATTCCCCTTATAATTTAATAATAATAAATATTTATCCAGGCTGCATCTAACTTGCAGTTAATCTATCCTTTTTTTAATTTATGGGGCAATTGTGTTTGGAAGACTAAACAAATGAGGGTTCTGTTTAGCAGACCAAACAAACCTCAGGGTTTTCTCTGGTTCCAATCAAATGCTGTTTCCACTGCAGGATCCTTAATTGTTGAAAGTTTTATTGGTCTATGGCTATTGTGAATTCCCTAGTTTTTCTTTTTAAGTCTCCTATTTTAAGTGCATTAAAATATTATTGGCATAAGCAGCACAGATGGATAAGTTTGAAAATGTTGAACAAGTACCAGAATATAAAACTAAACAACAGTCAATATTATACTTCTAATATCTATGACCAAAATCTCAACAGTGAGGCAGTGTATTAACCATATTATCAGCCCAGCTATAGAACAAGTAGTACTTTTACTCTACAGTTTACTTGTCAATAATGCTTGATGTGTGGGTCTCAGGAAGCAGGCCACTGTGATCTGGCCAGAGATCAATATCTACACCATGGACCTGGCAGAATAGGGGAATATTATGATTCAGGAAGGTCTGATCTATCACCTGACTTTTTGATGAGGTTGACTCTGGCATTCTGTATAAAGGCTACCTTGTAGAACAAGGCAGTGAAAAAAGAAGGCTCCAGCAGGTCCTGTGGTTGTGATCTCCAAGTCTGAGGGGGGGGGGGAGCAAAAATCATCACCTTCTCCCCCTGCCTTCATTATAATTAGAGAACTAGTAACCCCCAAATTACAAACATGTCCTGTAACTACTCTTAAAAATAAGCAATGCATTTGCTCACTCAAGGGAGCTCAGGACTTATACTTGAAGTTTAATTGGTCATCCATAGCATCTTATAACTGCTTCTATGTTGTGTCGCTGTACACAATAGCATCAGACCTGAGATAGAGAAGCTTCAGCTTAATTTTCCATTTAGCCAGGGAAGATTATCATTAATAATCTTTAATTAGTTATTTGAATATTACCCAATATTGAGTGAGTCTTCCTTGACTCACCATGAAGGGTGATTGTGGATGCAAATTAGTGAGAAAAATTGTATATATTCCTCTTGGCTTCTTCCAACAAGGATAAAGGTAAAGAATATAAAGAATACATTATTATTAGGAGTGATGGTGTTACTGTCCTTAGACATTCCTAATAAGATCAAGGCATATCTACAGCCTTTAAGAGGAATAGTAAACATTTTTCAGTAAAAAAATATTTACAATGGTACAATAGTAAACATTTTTCAGTACTTCCTCTGTATATTTGATAGTAAATCTCACTATGCACACTGAGCTCACTATGCTCAACAAATTTGCTACTAAATTAAATTGTATATTTTATATTTTAAGCGCATGGGAGATTGCAGCACCAGAACCCTTCCTGTGTGTTTCCCCAAGCTGGCCTGGTCTGTGAGGGAAGCATATGGGATATCGCAGTACCAGAGCCCTTCCTGTGTGTTTCCTTTAGCTGGCCTGGTCTGTGAGGGAAGTGTGCAAGAGATCATGGCACTGGAGCCCTTCCCATGTGTTTTCCTCAGCTGGCCTGGCCTACAAGGGAAGCATGTGGAAATTACTCGTGAGCACCATTGGTCGGGGGAGGCAGGGAGAAAGGCCAATGGTGCTCACAGGTAAACTGCAGATTAGAGGCAGCTGGCTGACTTACTTGCTCAGCTGCTTGCTGCCTGGAGCTTGCAGGCAGTGAATGAAACCGCCACCTCCTGCCTCCACACATTGAAGAGGCCAAGCAGCAGTGGGAAGAGCATGGACCTCCTGAACTACAGGAAGCAGCTGCCAGAGATGCCCTCAGGCCACCCATCTGACACCCACCAAGCCTCCTCCCACTGCACTTGTCTTCCACCTCATCAGAAGCACTCACAAGCAACAAGAGAGGGAGACTGCAGGATTGCCCCCATCTTGTCTTCAGTATGTGGCTCATCGGCCTCTGGATGTCAGATTCCCACCACCCAGCAACAGTTTATAGGTTCTTTCCCCCCTAGTATGGAGAGAGGGGGGGAGGGAAAGAGAGAGAGAAACAAGAGAGAGGGGGAAGAGAAAGAAAGACGAAGAGACACAGAGGGAGGGGAGGGAAGGGAGAGAGAGACAGAGACAGAGAGAGAGGGGAGTGAGGGAGAAAGAGAGGGAGAGAGAGAGGGAGGAAGAGAGAAAGAGAGGGAGAGAGAGAGGGAGGAAGAGAGAAAGAGAGAGGAGAGAGAGACACAGAGGGAGGGGAGGGAAAGAGAGACAAAAGATACATAGAGGGAAAGAGATGAGTGAGAGGAGATGAGAGAGAGAAAGAGAGAGGGGGAGATGAGAAAGAGAGAAATAGGGAGAAAGAAAAACAGATGAGAGAAAGAGAGAGAGAAGTTGAGAGAGAGGGGGGAGAAAGAGATGAGAGAGACGGAGAAAAGAGAGAGACACACACAGAGAGATACTTTTTAAAAGAAAATAGAAAAATGGTTCTTTGAGTGTTTAAGGTTGCAGACCCCTGGGTAAAGCAAACACCATGGTCATTAAGTGAACCTTGTGGTCATTAAGCAAACACTGCAGTTGTTAAACAAGCCCATTTTCCCCATGGGCATTTTTAACCAGAAACCAGAAGGAATTGTTGGAAACTGGCAAAGACCTCAGTCACATTACTGTATGGGATGTTGTAACTCGTCGTGTGTGTGTGCACGCGCATGACTGTCAAAACTCCCAAAGCAGATCAAGTAGCTCTGGGGAGGTCAGTCGTGAATTAGAACACTTGCTAAATAACTGGCCATTAAGTGAGGACCACTGTATTTGGTTCGCTGTAAAGGCTCAGAGCTGTATGGAATCTGATTTCCTTTGACTACTTGGGGAATTACAAAAGGTCCGGATGGAGAAATCCTTGTAGGGGGAACTAGGATTGTGACTACCTAGCCATGCCCTCCCAGTCACATGACTACCTAGCCACATCAACCAGTCACACGACCACCTAGCCACACCCACCAATCACATGACCACCTAACCTGGCCCACCTAGCCAGGCCCACCTAGCCAGGCCCACACAACTGGTAGTAATTTTTTTTTATTACCGGTTGAATCCTACCTCTGCCTCCAATGTATACTTTTTTTCAAGTTTTTTATTTTTTTTATTTTTAATCAAGGTATCAAATCAATGTATGAAAAAGAGAAACAGCTAATATGGCTTTTCAGGTGAATGTACCAATATGGCTTTGATGTTGCCAGACACATATCTTTCATATATTATTTATTTTAGATGTCTCCTGTACCTCAAAATATAAGTTATGAAGTTTGCCTTCATATTGGAAGTTCCTTTACAACACTCTAATACCTATATTTCCAAATTCTGAAATTGGTTTTGATGCTGCTTTTGTTTCTCACTCACCTGCAGAGCCTGGAGTTTGCACTGTATTTGGAGACCCCCACTACAACACTTTTGATGGGCGGACATTTAACTTTCAGGGAACATGTCAGTATGTTTTGACAAAAGACTGCTCTTCCACCACCTCACCTTTCCAGGTGCTGGTAAAGAATGATGCCCGAAGGACTCGTTCTTTTTCCTGGACAAAATCTGTAGACCTTATGCTGGGCAGCAGCACTGTCAGCCTCCACCAGCATCTCACAGTGAAGTGGAATAGAACTCGCATTTCTCTACCATATGAGACACCACATTTTCACATTGACTTGGAAGGATATCTGTTGAAAGTGACAACCAAAGCAGGTGGGAGTATAATATGTGGTACTAAATTCTCCATGACAGGACCACGATGATGTATAAAAAAATTAAGTTTCTACATTTTGCAGTAAGGTCACCTTGATTTATTAAAATGATGGGAATTCTAGTTTTCAATTACTGCATTTTTCCCAATATGGGACCCTATAGATGGAATTCTAGCTCCTAGAATTATCCTATAATGGAGGAAGATTCTATTCCAATATATTTGGAGGGGCTCAGAATAGCTCAGAATTCAAAATAGCTAACATCAATAAGTAATCCAATAAAAACAATATGTGAAACCTAAAAAAAGTAAAAATGTTTTGTTTCTAGGGTATTGAAACAAATCAGATGAAGAAGAATCCTGGTATTTGATGGTTTTTTTAAATATATTTATTTGGGATAAAGCAGCTCTGAAAATGCAGATTTGTTTCTGCTGAACATGGTTAATTGAATTCACTTTGTTTTTCATTCTTGTGTTGGAATATAAATACATCAGGGTTGTGAAGCATTTGCCAGATTATATACATGGCTGATTGACTAAATTTAGCTTAGTAAATCACAAGCTCTAGAGATCAGTATATGGATTATTCATTTTTCTAGGCTGCCTAGGTCTAAAGCATATATAATGCTTCCTAATTGTATTGTATTAAAACCTCTCATAAGCTATGAGCAGAATAATCCTTGAGTAAGTAGACTGGATGAGCTGATGACTGATTATTACCAAAATAACTGCACCTGGTGCCAAATATCATTTTTAAATTAACTGTCTAAAGCCTTAAGTAGTTTTATATTTAATATTTTAAAACACATTAAATATATATTTACAACTGCTTCTATTTTCATTATTAGTAGGATACAGAATAACAAAATTTAAGTTTATGTAGTCCTTGTTTAGCAATTAGCAAGTTTAGTGACCATTTACAATTACAGTGGTGATGAAAAAGTAAGTTTGCAACCAATCCCCATATTTACAATGTTCAAAAGTCTCCAAAGAAATTGAAAACTGAAGTAAGATCATAAGCACAATTGCAGTTTTACTTAGCAACCACCTCATTTAATGAACAAGTTGCCAATTCTAATGTGGTTGCTAAACAAGGACTATTCTGTATATGCAACACGTCTCTGTCTATCATCTCTATTTCTATATCTCAATCATCCCTATCTCTATATCATATCTTTCTATTATCTTTATCTCTGTCTCTATTATCTCTATATCTCTATCTTTGTACATTACAGAACGTTACAATTAACAGAGTATTAGATAAACCAGATAAATTCTTTTTCTCATTGCTTGGTTAAAGTCCAGTGCCAAGTAGAGCTAAAAAACAAAACAAAACAAAAAAGAAAGATTCAAAAGTATTTTATTCCAAGATTTTATTATACTAATGTATAATAAAATTGGGATGAATGCAGAAATACTTTCTTCAATTAATTTCTTTCTTATATTAAAAAAACTAAATCTATTTGGACTGGGGGGGAAACTATTCATCAATAGTTCCACCTGAACCACCTGAAAAAGTTTATCAGACCATATTTTAAAAGATTGCTAGAGGCAGGGCTTGTGAAACAGTTCAAGGAAGCTTTTACAAACTTGAGATTTCCATTTCATGTCAAATGAAACATGTTTTGCAATATAAGAAAAGATAGAATTTCTATTTGATGTCTCTCCACCTGGCAACAGGACGTATTACATTTAAACTGGGAATCTGAAAGCCTCTGAGTCTTTGATTACGCAGATAACAAGCATGAAAAATACACACAGAATTTAGAGAATTTAGAGTGTTGTTAAAGGCAAATCTTTCTTGCTTTTCTAATCTGGCAAGCAAGAGTTTTGTCCTTATGACAAGATTGTTATAACAACCTTATGGCTCTCCAAAAAAGGCTTTGATTGCTATTTTTCCAAGGTATCAATAAAGTGAAAGGAAAGTTCTGGAATAAGTAAGCATCATTCTACAAGAATGATGCTGGGGAACCACAATGTCATCACATGGGATCTGCAAAAACTTGAAGAAATGTTAAGATTTAAATCTTGAATTAAGTCTTGGGGCAATTTGTGGCCAAAATAGGTGTATAAAGGGGTCTGTGGTGAAGAAAAGATTGAGAAATGCTGCAGATTTTAACGGGTTCATAAGGCAAAGAAATCCACATGAATGTTCTTTGGTGAATCCAAATTGGGTGGGATCCTAGCTCCTAAATGTAAAGAAACTGTTTGCTGTATTCCCTGATGTGTAATAGTAAATATGTAATATGTCTGGATTATTTTTTTCTCCTGAAATAATTTACTTCTGTGTTTCTGCTTAGTCTATTTTGCATTGTAAAATATGATTTAACAGGAAATTGATAGGTAATTGTAGCTATAGCTAAGGAACAGATTAATAACTGCACAGGCATCTGAAAGTTGCTGAATCCTGAAAATTATATTGGTGATCAGTAGACATAATGATAGAGGTTTCATTAGTTTGTTTAATAGTGTTGTCTATGGTATCAATTTTATATGAATTGAACCTTGCAAGTCCATTTGTCAACCATCAAATGCTGAGAAATCTCACTACAAAGAACAATTCTGACTTTATTTATTCATGAGGAGGATGATTGAACTAGAGGTTCTGTCCAGATGGTCCAGTTAGTTTATTGCAGCCACTTTTAAAGTCATTCATAACCAGTACAAATATGTCTGAGAAGCTGTTGCTTCCTGTCTTTACCTATATGTTTTCTGTTCTCTTTATCTGATGGGAAAAAGGTCCAGAGAATCATCTCTTCTAACTTCTTTCCACTTCCCTCCCTAGTGTGGACAAAGGAGTTTGCAAAGTAAAAAAGAGATGGAGTACCTACATTATTTTTATAGAGTGCACACTTTGGTTTATAAGCTGGAAACTACAATTAATGCTTCATGAATCCTTTCACCAAGTGTGATGGGTGGGCACGCGTGTGTGCGCAATAACGGCACACACAATTTTGGCACACCTTTAGAAAAAGGTTAGCCATCATTGTTATATAGTGTCTTTGAAAGTAACCATGTATCCTATTTTTCCCATAAAATAAGAAGGCATGCCAACCCAGTTGTAAATCATGTCCCTCCAATGTCAATAGTCTTGTATTTCTCAGTACAATCCATTCTTTCATCCATGTTAATGCCACTGCCTAGTAATATAATTCCCAATTTAGTTCAAAGCCTCCTCTAACTCTTGAATCCTGTAACATTTTAAAATTAATTCTTGCTCTTTTTCTCTGCCAGATATATTTTATTATTGATTCATTAAGATCTTCAAAGTATTTTTTCTCCAATCTTATCAAATTGTTTGAAATAAATATAGTAGACTTGGTAATACATTCATTTTAATTGTAGCTATTCTTCCTATTAATGATAGTTGCAAGCTTTTCCATTTTTTCCAAGTCTATCTTAATTTGTTGTATCAGTTTATAATAATTATCTTCCTTAATCATTACATATCTCACTGTTAATTGAATCCCTAGATATTTTACTTTCTTTGTTATCTGCTTATCTAATCAGTTCATTAGCTCTCTTTTTTGTTTTTCTGTAATATTCTTCACAAAAAATTTACTTTTCTTTCTTTGTTTATTTTCAGACCTGCAACTTCACCATATTCTTCTATTCTTTTTAGTAGTTTAGGTCCTGTTTCTTGTGGATCTTCTAAGATAAAAACCAAATCATCTGCAAATGGCTGCAATTTATATTCTTCCTTTTTTTATTTCCATGCCTCTTATCTTCTTATCCTTTCTAATATTTCTGTTTAGTATGTCCAGTGTCAATATAAACAATAACAGGGACAGAGGACATCCTTGCCTTGTACCCTTCATCATGCTAACCTTTTCCATCATGTCTCCATTTACTATAACTTTAGCAGTTTGTTTATAAAATATTATTGATAATATATTGAGATATGGTGGCTCAGCGGCTAAGACACTGAGCTTGTCGATTAGAAAGCTTGGCAGTTCGATAGTTTGAATCCCTAGCACCATGTAATGGAGTGAGCTCCTGTTACTTGTCCCAGCTTCTGCCAACCTAGTAGTTTGAAAGCATGTAAAAATGTAAGTAGAAAAAATAGAAACCATCTTTGGTGAGAAGGAAACAGTTATGCCGGCCACATCACCATGGAGACGTCTTCAGACACCATTGTTTCTTTGGCTTTGAAGCGGAGATGAGCACTGCCCCCTTGAGTTGGGAACGACTAGCACATATGTGCGAGGGGAACATTTACCTTTACCTTCACTTTATAATATATTGCCTTAATCATTTTAGTAAATCTCTCCCCAAAACCCATAACTTTTAGTTTCATCAACATAAACGGCCTGGGTTACAACACACCCACCACCCAGGCAACTACAACACAAAACAACAACAGAGACACAGCCAGCACCAATCAGCACCAATCTACCAATAATGATACAACCACACATCCAATCAATCCACTTACTGAAATAAATCCAGCACTCTACACACCCCACCAAGATTTATAGAAAGACGGCAGCTCCGACCACGCTTTAAGCCGAAAACACCAGCCTGAAAATGGCGAGTGAGACCTCGCCGAAACGTTGCCAGGACAATCTCAATCTTACATGGGAAAAAAACCAAATACAAAAAGATATGAGTGTGTGTCTGTGTGTGCCCGCGTGTGTACGTACGTACGTCCCTAGGACATACCATCTACTGGAAAAAAAACACACCAACCTCTAATTAAACACACAATCCCATCACCACCCTGCACTCTGTAGCCAAGACCCTCAACTCCAGAACCAAACGCCTAGCCAACAAACATCACCTGAAAACTTGATCTGTGCAGAGTGGTGATGGGATTGTGCATTTAAGTAGCGGTTGGTATGTGTTTTTTTCTGGTAGATGGTATATCCTAAGGAGCCATTGGGTTTTTTGTAGATTAGGATGTCCAGAAAGGGAAGTTGTTTGTTTGCTTCTATTTCCTTAGTGAATTGTATTTTGGGGTGTAGGCTGTTGAGATTTGTGAGGAAGTTGTCCAGTTTTTCTT